TTCATTAAAACTAAATAAATAATAATTTTTATTTAATTTAAAATTAAATAGAAAAGAATGAAAATAATTACAACAGAAAACATAGGCCACATTTTACATGAGCATTTAGCTGTTGTGCTTAATAAATAGATAGATACATTTATATGAAGGAGACCCAAAAGAACCTGGAATTGTCTTTCGAAGGGTGGGCCCCTTGTAGCACAGGCTTCCTCCACCAGGTAAATTTTAAGGAACCCATCAGCATCAGTGTACCAGTCAGTGTTGTTGTAAGAGGCTGCACTCGGTTTTAGTGATTTGGGGGTTTTTTTGAGATTCTTAAAAAGCATTTGCCCATTTTATAATGGGTGATTTACAAACACACTTGCCCACACTGAGCTGAGTGTTCAGCAGTTTTTACCAAAATTAGCATGACCCCTATTCACCCAACCTCTCCCTAAGCAACTTTTTTTTGTTGTTGTTCTCCAGATTTTAAAAACATCCTCAAAGGGAAATATTTTGCACACTAAAAGGCATCAAAACTGATGAGTTCAAACATTGTTTTGAGCAATGGAAAAAGTGTCTCAATAGGTGTATTGCATCAAATGGAGAATACTTTGAAAATGAAGTTTAAACATGTAAGTATAAATATACAATTTTTTAATAAATAAATTCCTGGGGTTTGGGGGTCCCCCTTGTATATGAGATAGATCTAATACAGAGAGAGACATATAGAAATTTTCTTTGATTGTTTCACTTTGAGGACTACCATGTCCCTAACTAGATTCTGAGCCAGACCCTCAAAGCCACAACTTGTATGCATTTATTTCAATTCCTCCTTGGTGACCATCACTAACTCAATGATTTGGACAACTTCAGAAAAGTTGAAATCCAATCCATACTTCACATGGTGATAAGCTATCTATCAAAATACTAATTTACTGTACTTAAAACCCTCATAGCTTCCCACCTCCTCCAGATTCAGTGTGAAATTCTAGACCCTATGGATCTCACATACCTCACCTCGTACCCCTCTTCCTCTGTCCACTCTGCCCCAAGCAGCTTGGACTTCTCTCAGTTCCATGTTCTCTCCCGCATTGTGGAACCAAGATTACATGCTGTGAATCAGCCAGCTGCTTCAACAGTCTTTTCATCCTGCAGACTTCAACTTGGGTCTGACTTCTTCAAATAAGCCTTTCTCGCATAGTCTAAGTTAGATGTCCTGTTACATATTCCAATACCTTATATCTTTTCATGAAACTTTTCATACTTGAAACTGTTTGGTTTATCATGTGTAATTATTTGCTTACTGTCTAAATTCTTTTTTCCAGTAAATTCCACGTGGAAAGGGTCATGTCTGTTTTGCTTATTGCTGTAGCACTAGCACAGCTCCTAGTACCTGGCATTTGGTATGTATTCACTAAATATTTGTTGACAACAAAGGACACTTTAAAAATTTACAAATTTCTAATTCGTTTCTCAATGGCCAGTAGGAATTTTAATTTCACTTTTTTATAACTTAAAAATATGCTTAAATTTTCTTTTGTAATAAAAGATTTCATGTTGCCTTCAAATTGTTAAACTAAATGGAATGCTCTGAATATAAATGCTTGTATAGAGCCATCTAGTGCCCATTTTGTTTAGTGAAACTAAAAATGAAATAAAGCCAAAAAATCCACAATCTGCTCAATAATGAGAAATGCATAATCTTCATCTGGCAGTAGCAATTTAATGCATCAACTGACTCCTTGAATAACTTTTTTTTCCAGAGCTACTTCACTGTATAAACACTGAATTCACTATATAGATGCCGAATTAGCCATTCTAGAATTCTGGCAACTAAAAATTGAGTGAGAGATCTCTAGTTAATGTGGAATATTGAATAAAGGTGCTGCTATTTACTGTCTCTTGAGACCCCACTAAAATGACAGTAAAGGAATAAAATATGCACAGCATATAAGGATAAAGAGAGCAGGTAGGAACAAGAGCAGATGAGAGAAGTAACAAAATCTTAGAACTTAGAAGAGTGGGTGGCAACTGATATCACAATTAGAGAAAGCTGAAAACTAAGGAAGACTGTGGAGGAAAACAGTTAAAGGGTGAACCCAAAACATCTCAAAACTTGAAGGCACTGGTTCCTCTAAAATTAGTTGATCTCATAAGCTACAGTAGGAGCTATACTCAACAGAGAATAAACCAAGAAAAAATGAAAAGATAACAGTTGCTGGAGAGGGTGTGGTGAAAAGGGAACACTTCTACACTGTTGGTGGGAGTGCAAACTAGTGCAACCTCTGTGGAAAGCAGTATGGTGATTCCTAAAAGCTCTAAATATCAACCTCCCATATGACCCCGCAATCCCACTACTGGGAATATACCCTAAAGATCTCAAATCACTCTATAAAAAAGATACCTGCACACGTATGTTTATCGCAGCATGGTTCAAAATAGCAAGAACCTGGAAGCAACCATGCTGTCCATCAAAAGAGGACTGGATTTTAAAAATGTGGTACTTATACACGATGGAATACTATGCAGCCATAAAAAAGAACAAAATCATGAATTTCGCAGCAACCTGGATGGAACTAGAGTCTATAATACTGAGTGAACCCTCACAGAAACAGATCTGAGTATCACATGTTCTCACTCATATAGTGGACCTTGATCATCCAACACAATACCATAAGAAAATGACTGATAGTAGTGGGAAACTATGGAAGAAGGAGGGGTAGGGAGATGGGATTAATGGTAGTAAATATCTGTCTGGGGATGGGGAGACACCTCTTATCAACAAGGGTGCCTGAACGAAGCATATTTGTATACCTAACCCTTAACTGTACCCCACAATATCATAATAAAAAATATTGATTATTAAAAAAAAGAAAAAAAAAGAAAAGATGGTATTCAGGACACAGAAAATCAAAAAAAGGAAGTAAAGGAAATTTCCAGGTTCATAAAAATGGGAAAATCTCAGGATTCCATCTTGAAACATAGACAACAACCAGAAAAAAGTGGAGCAGAAGAATAGGGAACTTTTAAAAATATCAAAAAAAGAAAACAGGCAAAACTGTTGAACTGCTGTTTAGATTTATGGAGAGGAGAGTGTGGTTCTGCCAGAATATTTGGAAATGAATTAGTCATAAATGTATGGAAAATCTTTTAAAATTTTAAAAAGAAAAAAAACATACAAATACAATATACTTCCAGCTGTAAATAATATTTTTAAAATAATAATGGCATAAAAACTAAATATTGATTTAATCAATTGTTCTATAACTCTTTTGGGAAGCTGGGAAGAGAAAAAACAGTGGAATTGGTGGATGCTAAATCTCTCTCATTAACTATTTTGATAACTGAGAAAATTTTTAAGCAGTAAAATTATATTATTGAGAAATATGGAGACAAACTCTGAAGAGAACAGAAAGTGGTTTCTTCTGGGAGAAGAAATCAGGAGCATGATTGCAGATAGTTTTTTTTTAATTCTAAGCTTTAACTTTAAAATTAACTCTGTATAGAATTTTTAAATATATTTATTTCTTTCCCCTTCCTTCCTTCCTTCCTTCCTTTCTTCCTTCCCCATTGTGCACTTCCACACTCATGGTGAGTGGCAATGTGTTTTCAGATTCTTTTTTTTTTTTTTAAGTAGAAAATAGACTAATTTTATTTTTTATCTGTTATCTTGCAAAAAAAAAGGCAAACCAGACCAATTTTAAATTTAAGAAACAGAAACACTGTTAATGCTTGTTATATCAACACACTTTTCATATTCAAAACTACTCCAAGAAGCAAGAGTTAACTCCTTTTCAAAGACGAGCCTCTTGAAATTATCTAGTGACCAAATCATACAGTGAGAAACAGTCAGAATTAGAATCTAGATCTTGAAAGTTCATGTTTAAAATTTTTTTAAAATGTGTTTCATTAGCCAGGATATTATCTACAATGACCAAATCATATAGTGAGAAACACCGCCAGAATCAGAATCCAGACCTTACTTGAAAGCCCATGGTTTAAAAGTTTAAAAATGTGTCCCGTTGGCTGGGTGTGGTGGCTCATGCCTATAATCCCAGCACTTTGGGAGGCTAAGGTGAGAAGACTGTTTGAATCCAGGAGTTTGAGACCAGCCTAGGCAACATAATGAGACATCATCTTTAAAAAAAGAAAAAAAGTGTCCCATTGGAGTGTAATAACTGCTTATTAGAGAATATGTGGAAAAGTAGTAGGAAGGGAGAAAATGAATTCATGATCCTAACTCCCAGTGGCCAGATCAACATTCTGGTACACTCTTTCCAGTCTTTCAGGTGTATACAATTTTTTAACATATGAACATATGGCATATCAAAATGGATGCATCAATATTTTAAAACTTCACATCTGATTATAAAAGGAAAGCATATACATTTTAGAAAATTTGGAAAATGTTGAAATATATAAATGAAATTAAAATTGTCTAGAATTCATTATCCAAAAACAACCACAGTTAATATTTTCATATAGTCCCTAAGCCTTTTTTTATTAATTTTCTTTTTATGTAGTTAAGTTTATAACATACAAGAATTTTAAGTATAGTTAACAAAGGTTTAAGTGGATGGTGACCCAGAGGGACTTGGTGACACCATTTGCCACTCAAATTATTCAGTAGGTCTCAAAGGAGCAGAAAATAATATTCACATTTCCTTGTTCAATCATAAACACAACAAATATCTGCAATTCTTAAAGTCTGTGCTAATTTTCTATTAAAGTGAACCCTGACATGATTTCCATCCCTTCCTCCAATCCAAGTGGTCTCAACCATTTACATAAGAATACTCCATACATAACACTTTCAATACCACATTAAAGCCCCACTAGGAGAGGGAAGATAACAGCTGTGATCTGATTAAAAGTTTTTAATATCTCACAATGAAAAATATATAATGGGCCTTCAACATTTTGCATACTTAAATTTACATAAGAGAGGCTTAGAAAATAAAGCATGATTGATAATGTCTCAAAGAAGTTCTAAATGGTGTAACAGATTTGGTCTTATTAAGTTCCAAAGAATTTATTATCAAAATTTAAAACTTCAGTCGTACATAATGTAATAAACCTTTACAATAGCTGCTAAGGGAAAGCGGCGGTGTAATTTACACACATTACTGAAGGCAAAAAGTTAAGAGCAGATGCTAACTCCAGTTGGAATGTTGACCAGTTCATGCAGCTTCCTCCTCACCTAAACACTCATGACACATTGAATGAAATCATCATATGGGAAATTCACAACACCTTGCTGGGCAGTATCAAAGGTGATCTTCCCATTGGTGCTGTATCGCTTTGCAATTGAATTCACGGCCTGGGGACTCAACCTAAATCCCATTGTTGTCAGGGCCTTCAGCAATTCTTGAGGATCCACTGTTCCACTCCTGTCGCGGTCAAAGCTGATGAAGTGTTGTCTCCAGCCATTCAGTACAGCCCAGAGTTCTTTAAATTCATTGAAACCCATTGTGCCAGACATCTCTCTATCCAGCATTGAGACCTTAAGCCGACAAGTCTCCAGGTTAAAAGGTTTGTATCCTCCTGCAATGCCAGATTGTGTCAGACATCTCTGCAATTCATCAGCATCTATTTGCCCATCCTGTCCGGCTACAGCAGCAAAGTAGCCATACAGCGGATCTTGTGTCTGTCCGGGAAACGCAGGCCCTCCAGGAGCCCCTCCATACCCGCCTGGATAGTACCCGCCGCCGGCGCCAGGGTGCCCAGGGTACGCCATGGTGCAGACTGCTCGGCTGCCGTGCCCCGCCCCAGATTCTTTTTAAAATGTACCAGTATTACAGGCTCATTTGGTCTTAGTTGGCACTTTGAACACATAATATGAAAACAATCTGGGCGCAGTGGCTTACCCCTATAATCCCAGCACTTTGGAAGGCCAAGGCAGAAGGATTGCTTGAGCCCAAAGTTCAAGACCATCTAGGGCAACATAGTGAGACTTTGTCTCTACAAAAGATCAAAAAATTAGGTGGGCCTGGTGGCACATGCCTATACTGGACTTAGAAAGATCACCTGAGCCCAGGAGGTCGAAGCTTCTGTGAGCTGTGACTGTGCCACTGCACGCCAGCCTTAGTGATAGAGTGAGACCCCAACACAGATACATGTAACAAGAGTTTTTTTTAATGTTTTAGTAGGTGAGATATGCACAAAAGAACGCTAATCATTTTTGTAAAATATCCCCTCTAATGGTCGCTTGAGTACAATGACCCTTTTGTTCACTTTAGGTGGAAGGATATTTTGCAATATTTGGCATCATAAGCACTTGTCCTGAAAGCACCAGACATCATGCTTTCCCAATATCCTACCTGATTTTTTTCATTGTACTTTCACACTTGTGTTTAAATTTTTGTAGCTATTGTAAATGGGATTTCCTTTTTGACTTCTTTCTTAGCTAGTTTATTATTGGTGTACAGAAATACCACTAATTGCTGTATGTTGATTTTGTATCCTAAAACTACTTTACTAAATTTATTTATTAGATCTAAGAGTTTTTTATTGGAGTCTTTAAGATATAAGATCATGCCATCTGCAAACAAAAACAATTTAACTTTCTCTTTTTTAATTTGGATACGTTTTATTTATTTCTCTTGTCAACTTGCTGTATTTCCAGCACTATGTTGAATAGCAGTGGTGAAAATGGGCATCCTTGTCTTGCTCTAGTTCTTAGAGGGAAAGGCATTCAGCTTTTCCCACTCAGTATATTAGCTATGGGTTTATCACATATGATCTTCATTATATGCAGAGGTATATTCTTTCTATGTTTAGTTTGTTGAGAGTTTTTCTCATGAAGGGATGTTGAATTCTATCAAATGATTTTTTACATCTAATGAGATGATCATATGGCTTTTGTCCTTAATTCTGCTTATGTGATGTATCACTTTTATTGATTTTTGTTAATTGACGCATTCTTGCATTTGTGCTATAAATTACACTTGGTCATAGTGGATTAACTTTTCATGTGCTGTTGAATTTTGTTTGCTAGTATTGTATTGAAAATTTTAGCATCTGTGTTCATCAGGGATATTGGCCTATAGTTTATTTGTTGCATCCTTGTCTGATTTTGGTATTAGGGTGATGCTGGCCTCATAGAATGACTTAGGGAGAATTTTTCTTGTTTAATTTTTTTGCATAGTTTGAGGAGACTTTTGTAACAATTTGGCAGTGAAAACACCCCAGTCCTGAACTTTTCTTTGAAGAATTTTTGTTATTGATTTAATCTCATTAATCATTATTGGTCTGCCCATGTTTTCTATTTCTTCCTGATTCAATCTTGGTAGATTGCATGTTTTCAGAAATTTATACATTTCCTTTTGATTTTCTAGTTTGTTAGCATATAGTTTTTCATAACAGTCTCTGACAATCTTGTATTTCTGTGGTTTCGGTTGCAATTTCTTCTTTTTCATTTCTGACTTTGTTTATTTGGGTCCTCTCTTTTCTTGGTTAGTCAAGCTAGCAGTTTATCAATTTTGTTTATCTTGTTAAAAAATCAACTTTTTGCTTTGTTGCTCCTTTGTATTGTCCTTTTAGTCTCTATTTCATTTACTTCGCTCTGATCTTTATTATTTCTTTTCTTTTGCTAATCTGGGGTTTGGTTTGTTCTTGTTTTTCTACTTCCTTGAGATACATCGTTAAATTGCTTATTTGAAATTTTTCTATTTTTTTGATGTGGCATTTATTGCTATAAACTTCCCACTTGTCACTGATTTTGTTGTATCCCAGAGGTTTTGGCATGTTGTGTTTTGACTTTCATTTGTTTTAAGAAATGTTTTGAATTCCTCTTTAATTTCTTCCTTGTCCAATGGCCATTCAGGAACATGTTGCTTAATTTCCATGTATTTGTACAGTTTCCAAAGTTCCTGTTGTTATTGATTTCTAGTTTTATTTCTTTGTGGTCTGAGAAGATTATTTTGATTTTTTAATTTGCATTGAGACTTGTTTTGTGTCTATCCTGGATATAGTCTATCCTGGATAAGATTCCATGTGCTAATGAGAAGAATGTGCATTCTGTAGCTATTGGGTGAAATGTTCTATAAATGTCTATTTGGTCCATTTGCTCTAAAGTGCAGTTTAAATCAAATATTTCTTTATTGATTTTCTGTCTAGATGATCCATCTTATGCTGAAAATGGTGTGCTTAAATTCTCAACTCTTATTGTGTTGGGATCTATCTCTTCCTTTAAAGCTAATAATATTTATGTATCTGGATGTTCTGGTGATGGATGCATATATGCTTAGAATTGTTATATCTTCTTGCTGAATTGGTTCCTTTATCACTATATAATAACTTCTATCTCTTTTTACTGTTTTTTACTTAAAGTCTTTTTTATCTGATGTAAGTATAGCTATTCCTGCTCATTTTGATTTTTGTTTGCATAAATATTTTTTCATTCTTTTGTTTTTAGACTATATGTGTCTTTACAGGTGAGATGAATTTCTTGTAAGCCGCATATAGTCGGGTCATTTTTTAAATCCATTCAGCCTGTCTATTTCTTATAGGTGGAAATCTTAATCTGTTTACATTCAAGGTTGTTCTTTATATGTGAGAGCTTATTCCTGTCATTTTATTAATTGATTTCTGGTTATTTTATGTATTCTTTGTTGCTTGCTTTCTCTCTAGTTGTTTATGATTATGGTTTGGTAGTTTTCTATAGTGGTAACATTTTAGTCCTTTTAACTCTTCTCATTTGAGTGTTTGCTCTACTGGTGGGTTTTGTACTGTTGTGAGTCTTTGTGATGGCAGATACCAACCCTTCTCTTCCACATGTAGGACTCCTTAAAGCATTATTTGTAGGACTGATCTAGTGGTGATTAATTCCCTTAACTTTTGCTTGCCTAGGAAAGATGTTATTTCTTCTTCATTTGTGAAGAATAACTTTGCGAGGTATAGTGGCATTTTTGTATTTCACCACATTGACAATATCATCTCATTCTCTCAAGCCTGTAAGGTTTCTGCAAAGAAATTCACTGTTATTCTGTTGAGGATTGCCTTATAAGTGATTAAATGTTTTCTCTTGCTGTTTTTAGAATTGTCTCTTTGTCTTTGACTTTTGGCAGTTTGACTATAATGTGCCATGGAGAAGAACTTTTTGCATTGTATCTGCTTGGGATCACTAGGTTTCTTATATCTTGTTATCAAAATCTCTTGCTTAACTTGGGAAATTTTCATCTATTATTTTGTTAAATAGGTTTCAATCCCTTTCATTTTCTCTTTGCCTTCTGGGATTCTCAAAATTTGAATATTTGGTCACTTTATGGTGTCCTATAAGTCACATAAGCTTTGTTCATTCTCTTGTACACTTTTTTCTTTATTTTTGTCTGACTGGGTTATTACAAAAGACCTGTCTTCAAACTGTAAAATTCTTTCTTCTCTTTGATCTAGTCTATAGTTGAAGATTTTGAATGTAATTCACATTTTATTAAAGGAATTCTTCAGTTCTAGAATTTTGGTTTTTTAAATAATATCTATCCCTGTGGTGAATTCCTCATTTATGTTCTGAATGGTTTTTTTAATTTCTGTATTGTTTATTTATTTATCTTGTATCTCACTGAGCTTCTTTAATGTCATCACTCTGAATTCTTTTTCTGAGATTTCATAAATTTATTTTTCATTGGAATCTGTTGCTGGAGAATTATGTTCCTTTGGTGGTGTCCGAACTTCTAGCTTTTTCTTGTTTCTTGTGTCCTTATTTTGATACCAGCACTTCTAGCTTAGCAGTTGTTTCTTCCAGTTTTTGAATTTACTTTTGTAGGAAAGGACTTTTTCATAAGATGTAACTGTGGTGCTGGTTAAGGAGGGCACTTTGACTTTGATATATGCATACTTTGGGGAAGAATATAAAGGAAGAAACAATATAGTGAAAAACTTTGAATATTGGGAGAAATGTTCAAAAAGAACATGGATAGTAGTGAGGCTGGAGTAAGCAGGCTGGAAGCGTAGTAAGTGGAAGAGGTTTGGAAAGAGGAGGAGGTAGAGGACCCTGCAGGCTATTATAAGAATTTTGTCTTTTGAGTCATGTGGAAGTCTTTGGAAAGCTTTGAGTGGAGTATTGTTAAGGTCTGCTTTTAAAAGACACTTTAAAACGTTAACTACAGCTATTGCAATCATCCAGGTTAAAAATAAAGCCAGAGTTGTTTAGACAAGCATGATAGAAGTGCAAGTGGATTTTTAAAAAGTGGTTAAGTTCTGAATGTATTATCAAGGTAAAACTAACAGGGTTCCCTAACAGATTGGGTATGTTATTTGAGAAGAAGAAGCAAAGAATTAAGATGACTACAAACTTTTTGGCTTTTGGGAAAAACATATCTCATGTATGCTTTACTGTCTTTGGACTTTAGTTCCTCCTTTCTACTGCTTTATAATAAATCTTGATAGACATTAGGGCAATTACCTTCTTTGTAAACATTTCCTTGCCTGTTTAGAGCCTTTTAATTTATATTAATATTTTAGGCTTGTATTATCTATCCTGCTCCATACTAGAATGCAAAGGTACATGTCTTTATCCAGATAGTATTTCTTTAAACATTTGTTCACCTCTATCCCCCTTTGTTTCTCCTGATAACCTTAGATGGATGTTGTAGCATTTTATCTAAACTTCAAGACTTTTAGTGGTCTCAGAGAACTTAGCACTAAGCTTTACTGCACCCTCCAAAATTTCTATGTGTAAGTATATTTTTTCACTAATTCACCCTTTCAGCTAACTCCACTGAGGATGTCAGCCTTAAATTCTTACAATTTAATAATGTGGGAAT